CGACACCTCCTGTGGGAGTGAGCCTGCATGCAGGGGCCACTGGGTTTAAGGGCGCTCCTATCTACCCAGATACCTCTGCGGGAGACAGCCCCCCTTCATACAGAGGTTCCGGCCACTCCCTCCCTCAATCACTGTCACACTGGCTTCCACTCTGCACAGATTCTCTCTGCCCTCACAGCACAGAGGGCGTCACTGCCACTACCCATCACCATGCCAGAGTCTCTGCCGCCCTCATCTGCCCACCAACTTCTGCCAATTTGGCTCAATCATTTTAAAATCTCTCCAATTCTGCATCAGCACTGCCCTGCACTAAAACAATTTGATCTGACCTGCTGCCAAAAAAGGGGGAAAAAAATCAACTTAAAGTGCAAATCTAATCACTTTCCTTCTGGGCTTAAAATCCTCCTCAGGTCACAGGATAAAGTCCATAAACTCCAGCATGACCTAGGAAGCCATCCAATGGCAGCCACTAGCAGCATCCTCACCCCCAAATCAAAATCAGGGACACTCCTCAACTCATGGCAGCTTCCTCGCACTTCTTTGTTCTGCTACTCTGGTTATCAGGAAGACCAAGACAAGGGGACACTCTCTCTGTGGGCTCAACCCAGACCGTCTCATTGTGCCACGCTCAGGGTCTACACTAAACCCTGAGGAAATGACTAAGCCAAGCTGTGTGGGAGGGGAAACAAAGCTGGATGGTTATGATAAAGAGATTGGGGAAATAGCAATGTGAATAGGCCCAAAGGGAACCAGTCATGTTCCACATGAACGCTAGGCAGAAATCGCCATCCTTCAGAGCCAAAGAATCTTTCAGGCCCGGCACCCACCTCAGGCAGCCTGCTGCTGGCTCACTGGCCAAGGCGCCATACTGCCTTGAAAACACTCCTGCTCTCAGAGCCAGAACCATCTGACTGCTGGCTGTGCTGTGTCCAGCTGCCAACACAGCAGACCTCCCTCCCAGCATCTTAGCTCCTAGTGACAGCTGACCACACTGGCCCCTGCTCCCAGGAGCAGCAGTGACTCATCTTCTTCCTACAACCAGCCTGGATCTGCCAGTGCCCCCTACCCATGTGCTTCCTGCACCATATGAGGCTGCTGCAAATAGGACTCTGCAGATGCAGTGAAGCAAGCACTCAGCTGCCAGAGGATTCTCAGGTCCTCAAAGTCCCTTATCAGCCAGAAGCAGCAGGTTTTGCAGAGCTCTGCTGAGCTGCTGAGTATCATACTTGCCAGGGCCATGGTACCTGCAGCAGGGTAGAGAGGACATCTCCCATCATTACATCTGTCTCAGTCACTTTTCTCATTGCTGGGACAAAATATTCAATACAACTTAAAGAAAAAAAAAAAAACATTTTGGCACACGTTTCAGTCCATAGTTGGCTGGCTCCAAGGAAAGATGGCATGGCAGAGGGACATGGTGGAGGAAAAGATGCTTACCTGACAGTTTAAATTATCAAGGGAGGAGCTGGGGAGATACATCTTTCCAGGTCCTACCCAAAGTGACCCACCTCCTCCAACCAGAAAGGAAGTCAGCAGTAGCATCCCAGAATACAATCAATTTCCAAACATGCACAGCTTTGAGAGTCATTTTAGATCTAAACCAGAATATTCTGCTCCTAGCCCCTAAAGAACTCATGCATGTCTCTATATGAAATGCATTTAGTTCGTCTTTAACAGTTGCCAAAATCCTAACAGTTCCAACACTGCTGGAAAGCTCAATTCCAAAGTCTACTCTCAGACTCAAAGCAAACTTAGCTGTGAGCTCCTGTAAAAATCAAAAAGAAAGTTAAACATTTCTAACATACAATGGCCCAGGGTAAAATTTCCCATTCCAAAAGGGAGGAACAAGGAGATAGAAATTGGATTAGACCAAGATGGAAACCCAGTAGGGCAAACATAAATTCTGCAGTTCCACGTCAAGTACCCAGGGCAAGTTGTGGTGATGAGATGCACTCCAAGGGGCTTGGGTGGCCCTGTCTCTACAGCACTGCTAGTGGGTGCAGCTCTTAAGGCTTCTCTTCGGCTGGCTTTGCTTGCTCCTTGTGGCTTTCCTCATATGTTCTACATTCCTGGCTTCTCCAATTTCCTGGGGTCTTCACCACACTTCAGGCTTCACTCTTACAGCTTCACACACTGCCCTCTCAAGGGCACACTGCCTGGCCTCAGAGACCTTCTTCTGAAGCCCGGGTGGAAGTCTCCCTGACCCCACAACTCTTTCGTTCTGCATGCCTGTAAAGTTAGCATCACATAGATGATGCCAAGGTCAGCCACCAGCTCAAGCAGTAGTTGGGCACCTTTGGATCACAGTTTCAGTGGTCTCTAAGTGCTCAGATGGCCGAGCACTGTGAAACAAGTCCTGCAAACCAGTTCCCCATGTGGCCCTTATTGAGGGTTCTCTTCTCAAATGAAAGCTTTACAGATATGCATCCTTCAGCATGCAATGGGTAGTCTTGCTGATTCTTGGGATGCCCTAAAAGTAACATTTCCATTGTCCTGTTGTAACGTAATGGACATTTCTGTTGTCCCAGCTTGGGTTTCTTTTTAATGTTAATCTTTTCAGCAATCAAAATCTTCTTGGCCAAAAATTTGCAGGCCCTTCCTTCCTGGGGAAACTGAAACTTTTTCAAATGGGGTTTATATTCCTGATGTTCAGTATGAACCTGGCTAAAAGCAGCATGCAGTATCCATACTACAGATTGAATATTGGACTACTTTAAGATTTTCTCTGCCAGAATAATTAGTATGCTATCCTTAATCTCAGTCTCCTGCAAAGTCTCCAGGACATGAGCAAAATGTAGAGAATGTTCTGCCAGAGCATAACACACAAGGTCTTAAGTCCCAATGCCAACGGAATGCTTGTTCCCAACTGAAACCTCCTGAGCTTGGTCTTTACTGTCTGCCTTTTAAATCAGCATTCTGGTCTTCTAACTCACCAGAACTTCCCATTAAGCTCAGCTTACAGTATTCTAGACTTCTCTAGGTGCCATCTCCAAACCTTTTCTAACTCTTTCCACAAACCAATTCCAAAGGCTTCTGAACGACATGATTAGGTAGTCACAGCAACAACCACACTTCTCTAGTACCAAAATCTTACTTTCCTTGTCACTGGGACAAAATAACTGACACATGCAACTTACAGGAAGAGAGGTGTTCATTTTGGTTCACATTTCAGTCTATTGTTATCTGGATCCAAACAAAAAAGCATGGCAGAGGCACAGGGTGGGAGGAAAAACCACTCGACTCACGGTGGCCAGGAAGCAGCGAGAGTCAAGTCAGGAGCTGGGAAGGGAGACACACCCTTCCAGGTCATGCTTATGGGGACCCATCTTTTCTGATTAAGCCTTCCTTCCTTCCACCAAGTCAGCTATAGCACCCACACACTCCAATAACCTTCTAAAACACAGGAAGCTCTGGAGGATATTTTACTGTTTTCTTTGTTTCTTTTTTTTCTGGGGGCCATTTTAGAGCTAAACAATAACAACGTTCAATGACCTACCCTTACAGTTTTGCTTCCTGCCCCGTACCCCGACGTATGGAGATCTGGGAATTTTAGCAGCCAGAAAACAATGCATCCATAAGTGGACAGTGTGGCAGAGGATGCTACTGGGCTGGTGTGAGCTTCCAGGCTTCCAGGAAAGAGTCCTCGTGGAAGTACCTGGAATGCAGAGGAGGACCTGTGAGGTCCCCATCAGGAAACTCCCCCTGTGACTGGGTGTGGGGCGGCTTGTGTGTGTGTGTGTGTGTGTGTGTGTGTGTGTGTGTACTTACACATGTGCATTCACTGGACAAGTGGAGGGTTCGGATCAGCAGGCCCCTGATGGGTAGCTTCCTGACTCACCTACGTCCTCCATCTGTGAAAGCTGTCCTTCGTACACACAAGGAACCAAGCAGGTGAGTGTAGTAGGCAACTCTGTGAACTCCTCAGAATCTGGGATTCTGTAAAGGGCCTCAGGAATAGGGACTGTATATTTGACCCATAGAACCACAGCGGTGGCAGAGCAGGAAGGCAGTGTACACTCACCCGGGAGACCAGGCAGCCCTTCCAGACTTCTGAGCTTTCCCAGGGCCTGGACTTTTGACCCTTCCTGAGGTTCTCCGAGAAACTGATATTCTCCCATAAATCCCCGTGTCATGTCAACTAGTCAGTATTACTTCCACCCGAAATGTTCTTGCTACTTAACTGCTTTAGCAACCTAAAAGGAAGCTTACTCTACTAAAATAGGCTTCCAACTCCTTCCTATGGCTGCATGAGGCTGCTCAGAGGCAGTTTGTTCCCTCTATTTCCCCACGTCTATGCTCGGCCATGTTCTGCCCTCCAGTGCCTTTCTAGTCACCTACAGGTGTCTGGGCCACTGGAGAAGCAAATCACAGCTGGGAATCCTCTCCCTACAAATGAAGCAACACACATCATACCTCCCACCCAACTGCATGGCACTCAAGGGGATGCAGGGACTCCAGGTTAAGAACTCTCAGAATCACCCGACTCGCCCTCTCTGAGAGCTGCAGAGAGTCACTGGTATCGACGGCTGTCAAAGACAAACTGTGCGATCCTTTAAAAGACACGACAAGCTTACTTCATCAAGATGCACTGTGGCCAGATCAGGAGTACTAAGGTAACAGTACTCTAACAGTTCTATTCTCACAGGGGGCCTAAAAAGTTAGTCAGCACAAAGTAGGCAAACAAGTCAGCCCCTCCGAGTGTACCCTGACCTGCTGGGCCCAGGGAGCAGGGGCTGATGCCCGATAAGGGGCACACTGGGCTTGCCGCTTCCCCATGCTGCAGCCTCAGGTCCAAAGCAGCATCTGTTAGAGATGAATTTCCGTTCCCCAGCTGGCTGCTCCAAGAAACCTGCTGTGACAGCCCTGCGGTGCCAGAGGGCAAAATGGAAACCAAACAGGAATCTTACTCACCAAAAGCACCACTCCATCCCCTCAGGCAATTTCTGAACGAGGGTGGCTTCTAGCGTGGTGCTGACCACTCTGTGGAGAGAACTACGTACCTTTGTCAGCTGCTGCTCAGAGGAAAACCCCAGACCAAACACTGTGTTGGCTCTGCTGTCGGCCCACTGCCCAAACTTCTGCGACGTTTTGGTGAAGGTCATATTCGGTGTGATTGTGCTGTTTATGATCACCTGGAAGAAAAGGGCCCGGGGCAGAAATGTGAACACTGAGCTGGGTACCACCATCTCTCCTCAGAACATCTGCCGGGGGAGCTGGCACTCACAGCCCACTTCCTCTGCCTGTCACTGCGGGTCCCAAGTTCTCCTGATGCGTCCTGTGCTGAATCCCACGCACACCATGGCTGGGGCAATTTCAGGCAGTTAGCAGTCAGCCAGTCTAAAATAAGCAGGAGAAAGTCTCTCCTGAGCAGAGAATACCTCCGCAAATGGCCATTCAGTGCCCCAAAGCTGCCATGCATCACGTCACCCTCATGGCCAAACAGGGCACCTGTTTACAGAAGAACTGCACCCTGCAGCTTTTCCCGTCACCACAGCTCCAGTGCCCAGCTCAACCACTGCGTCTCCATAAGCACTGCTTCCCAAGAGGAAGAAGGAGAAACTCTAGTTACGACAATGTCTTGGGTTGACTTATAAAGAGACTCATCATGCAATGTGAGCAGGGTAAGGACCCCACAAGGCAGTGATGGCAAATGTTTTAGAGACGAGAGCCCAAGCTGTACCCCAAGACCCACTTACTTATTGCCAAGCGCCAACCCTACAGTCAAACCTGAATACTGAGGTTTTAGTTTAGAAAAAACCAGCTCACACCTCAACATCTTTTGTCCTAAAAGAAAAAAACAACTCGCATGCCATAGGCTTGCCACCACTGCTATAAGGGATGCTCACTGTCACCACTCCTTGGCGGCAGTGAGATGGGACAGAGAGACTGCAGTTCCTGAAAGAAGAGAGTCATGTAGAGCAGGCTGCCTTGAAAAGGAAGGTGACCCTCAGTTGAGAGATAGGTAGAACATGTGAACCCCAGGAGGGAGAGAGTGGGGAACAAATACCTTCCCCTCTGTCCCTCTCTGATCCCTTTACCACTGGCCAAACCCAGCCAGAAGCCACAGGACCTGGAAACTCACTGATGTCATTGCAGGTCAGCCTCTGGAGTAAAAGGATGATATTCACTCATTCATTCATTCATTCATTCATTCAACAAATATTTATGAAGCATGTACCACACAGCAGGCATTCTGCTAACCAAACAGACAAAGCTACCAAGCAGAGTCTGTAAGGATATCTGTCTGATGCCACCAGACACGAAGAAGTGCAGACAAGGGTACGGGGTGTGGAAAATACAGATCTAAACCATGGGCTGAGACAGGAGTGTGCTTCGAAGACCTTAGAGGCTGGTGGGATTCTGGCTCAGGTCGGGCAGGCCTGATACAGCAGAAGCAAGGCAGACCTAGGGAAGCCATGTGGCTGGAAGCTGGGTCAGAATGAATCATGTGATCCCAGAAAGCCAACTCTGGTTATGTCTCAATTACTTGGATCCTGGAAGGCCAAACAATGCCTAGACCCATTCATTTTAAATCTTAATGCTGCCTTCACTGCAAACCTCTGCTGCTGAGTGAGCCAACCCCCAACCCTAACCTCTCTGAATGACCATGGACAGAGGCTGGGCAGAGAGTAAAGGATATAGCTCTCAAGCTTGCCCCAAACAGGCTGTCCCAGCCAGTCAACCTGGAGTAAAAGTGACACTGGGTTTTCTTTAGAACCTAGCAGTTTCTTTTTTTTTTTTTTTGAGACAAGGTCTTGACATGTAGTTGAAACTGTTCTTAACCTCACTATGTAGCCCAACCTGGCCTCGAACTCACAGCAATCCTTCTGCCTCAGCCTCCCAAGTGCTGGGATTACAGGCATGTACCACCATGCCCAGCAGAACCTAGCAGTTTTTAAGATACTTTTTCATAAAATCTTTTATTTAGAATTCATTTTTACAGAAAAAGAAACAGGCTCAACAAGTTCATCAAGTGACTTGTTCAAAATCATAAAACTAGGAAATGTCTAAAAAGGGTATGATGTATATATTAACAAAGGAAAAGTTAATTGATTTCAAAAGCAAAATCTATTTATCCTGCTGAGGGCTTCATTTAGCTCCTTCAGTGTGTGAACTCATCGTCATTTTGAAGGAAATTCTCAACCACATTCTCCACTCCTCGCCTCACCTCTCCTTTCAGGGCTCTAGTTACACACGTGCTAGATCTGAAGGTGCCCAACACCTTTTATACTCATTAATTATTTTTCCCTGAGGCTTGGCTCTACTTCAGTTTTGGTATTTTTTTACTGATCTGTTTTCCAGTTCAAGAATTTTGGCTATTAATGTAGCCAATCTGCTGCTAAATCTATCTATTGAGTTCTTAATTCCAGATATTACATTTTTAAATTCTAGAATATCCATGTGATATTTCAAACATTAAATTCTAAGTCCCTGGGCATATTCTTCCTTTCACCTATTTTATATATTCCCCTGCTACCTCCTTAAATGCGTCAAGGATAGTTACTTTAAAATCCATGATGTAAACTCTAACATCTGAATCTATTTCTATTGCCTAGTTTTTCCCTTTTGACTCTAGTGTAGAACCCTGTCCTTCTGCATGTGTAGTACATTTAATTGCATACTGTCCACCAGAGAAAGCTTTTCTTTTTCTCTCCTGGGCAAGGAAGGTAGATAAGAGATCCCTACACTTCTCTGGGACAGACCTGGGTCAAGGCTAGGCTTCAGTTTCCTGCTAACTGCTGTGTTTAGAGCAGGTCCTGTGGAATTTCAACTGAGAGCCTTGCAAATCTTTACCTCCTCTGCCCTAAAAGACTGCAGAGATTCAGTATTGGCCTTGAGAAGTGTTGGGCTTAGTTCTACAGCCTTCCAAATCCACCTATCTTCAGGGTTTAGCAAATCTTGAAGGGGAAACTAGTGAAGTGACTGGAGTCACTCCAATCTCCCACTTCGTCCCTCCAACTATATCTGCTGGCTTCTGTTGGCCCATAGCAGCCTTTCCTGGGGACCAAACTTGGATGTCAGGCCTCTGGCTGCTCTGAGAATGAGTTAGTAGCCAGCAAAGGGGTATGCAGGTGTGAGTCTCAATCCCCCCTCCCTGAGGCTTTCATGCCTTTATTTTTTTCTTCGGCCCCTGTGGCAGGACTTTGCTTTCTCTGCACTGTAAATGTGAGAACTGTACTCTGCCTCTCAGAAATGCACAGCCTGATCCTTCACCTTCTGCTATTGACATGGAATTCAGCAGGCGTCTTTTAGGCACACTCCGCCATGAGTCTGAAACCTCTACAGTTTGCCACTTAGGCTGTCTCAGAAATAGGCTCAACAAGGAGCCAAGCCCCAGCCTGTAGCATGCGCCCAGAATTGGCAGGTGGTCCCCAGGCAGTGCTGCCAGTTAACCTCTGAGTGCTCCTCATCTCTCTGGATTTTAGTCTCTCTAGCTCTCATCATTTCCATAGCTGTCTGATACCTTTAAAGCATGTTTATCCCTTTTTTCCTGCTTGTTGTCAGAGGGAAGACTGGCCTGCTGGAATCTATACACCTGATTTGGAAGCAAAGTGCTGAATCAGTAGAAGGTGAGAGATGCAACTTACTATGTGCTTCAAGTGACATTTCTCAAGTGTTTATGGGAAGTATGCAATCTCTCCTAAGACTGATGCTTACTTCAATTAAGCAGCATACTCAGATATGCTAATCTAGCTAATTGGTATGATCTCAAGCTGCAGCTACCCTCCAAGCCTCTCCCGTGTCCCAGTGCTCACTCTAAGCCATGATTCCGGACCTCTAACCACCCACCTATCTCTTTCTATAGCACAGGGGTGCGGTGGGCTAGGAGAGCAAATTATGGCATCAGACCACAGCCCATAACTTACACCCATTGGGCTCACTCTGCTTCATCCTCGGCCCTTGCCCAAACTCTTGGTATGTCTGAGATTTGGTGAGATTACAATGGTAGTAACAGTAACGTACTTTCTACCTTACTAGTAAAATTGTGCTTATAACTCATGTCCATCAAATTCACCCTACCTGCTTCTCTCCAGTCTCCCAAGGGTCCATTCACTCACCCCAACCTATGCCTCCTGCAGTCCCCTGGGTCATGTGGCTCTGTCCCCAACCGCAGGCTATTCCTCCTATACCCACAATGTGCTGTGCACTCACCACTGCAGACTCAGAATAGACAAAGGGCCTGTGTGCTCTGGGGATGCAGTATGCTGGCCTTGCAGGAACTTATTAGAATTCTGCAGTGGGAGCTGCACTGCCCTCCTCATTCCATCAGCTTGCGCTGCTGGGGAATTGCTTTGATCCCGGTTGGTATAGCTACCACTCCTTGTCACCAGCATCAAGGTGCCTGGACATTTGCCAAACACAATCTACAGTACGCTACAAGCTACAAGTCAGCCAGGAGAGAGGGAGATGGAAGCCAGCCCTGGTGCCATGCTGCTCTTGCAATCCTCAGCCAGTAATGTGGAAACCACTTCACCATTATTACCATTCTATATTCGCTGAAGGCAGCACTGGCCAGGTGATACCAACAGATTAGGCAAACATGGAGAATGAGGGTGCCTTCATGGATGAGTAAAACCACTCAAAAAAAATATGGCTTAAAAATATGGTTAAAAAAAGTAAAGCTGGACATGTACGTTCTTCACACCCAAGAATTCCACCCCTTAATATATACAGCTGAGAGAAACTGTTGCATAGGTATATGGAGAAAGGTACAAGAATGTTCACAGCAGCAGTGTCCACCACCAGCAGGATGGAAACTGTGGTGTGGGGCTGGGGATTTAGCTCAGCGGCAAAAAGCGCTTGCCTGGCAAGCGCAAGGTTGTGAGTTCGGTTCCTGGTACCGGAGAAAAAACAAAAAAGCAAAAAAACAAAAAAAAAGAAACTGTGGTGTGTGTAGTCATTCAGTGAAACACTGTCTAGTGGGAAAATGAACCAAGGTGAGACACATCAACATGGATGAATCACCAAAATGTAATATTAAATTAGAAAAAATAAGTCACAAAAGAACACACACCTGAGAGTCTCCAGTACAATTTTGTTTGTATAAAGATCAAAAACAGGCAAAACTAAATAATATATTTTTCAGGGGAGGGGTCAGCAAACTATAGCCTCAGATCAAATTCAGCTCATG